TATGATAACTTTTTTATTTATGTAGGTATTCATTTCTGAAAAAAAAAACGAAACTAAACCAATATTAGAAATAATTCCAGTCAATTATAATATGTAAGTGTGTATGTGCATGCATTTGTATGTGTGCATAGCTTTTGCTGATGCAGGTGATTTTGGGATCATGTGACACACAACTTCTATACATACATATGTAGTACTTATTTGAATTTTTTTTTTTTAAATTTATTGCATACTATGCGTACGTACATATACATATATGTATATACTGGTCTAAAATAAAAAAATAACTTAATTTTTTCTTTATTGCGGTACATACTAAGTAAAGAATATGTACTACTTTATCAAACAATAATATAGGTAAGTGGAATTCTGATAAGGTCGAAAACTCTGTTCTATAATTTAAAAGCAATTGGTCAAGAGCGTCTCCAACAAATTTTTTTCGCACATGGGTAAGGTCATCTCAAGTGGGTCACAAATTTAGCAACGTTCAAATTTCCAGCTGATTTTTCGCTCAAATGAAGTTCTACTCACCTGAAATGCACTTCGTATATTTCATTGAAAAATTTTCAAATTTAGACTTTTTACGAGCATTTGATTTTTTTTTTAAATGGTATGGAATTTATTTTTTATACAATAAATTATTTTTTTTTCGTCTTGAAAATTTTAAATTTAATATAAATAATTTTTTTTTTTAACAAACGAAAATTTAAACATTTTCTCCGCCTCAGAAATTACCACCACATACGCCACCATACGCATATACCACAATACGCACCATAAATTATGCAATGTGGTACTTGGAGCATAGCACAGTTTCGACGTACTACAAAAATTTCCCAATACAAATGTGTCATGTTGCTCGTCCTATTATGCTTGTATAGCGCAGAATAGTAGACGACATTTCTGTTTTTTTTTAATGACATAAGAATACATGAATATAACCATGTGTACTATGTATCCACAAAATCATTTTAAAATTGAACTATGCTCTATGAAGGATTCAAGTAAAATGCATAATTCTCTAATCTTGAACTTTTATCTGTATTTTCAATCTTGCCTGCATATTTTAATATTTAGAGGAGATCAAATGCAATTGTCAAAAACGCAAAACTCAACCAAAAATACGTTTTTTTTTTCTTTTTTTTTAGCTCATTTGTTGATTTTGCTTGGGTCTAGACTTTTACACGGGTTTTTGTTTATTTTTATTTTTATGTTAATGTATTGTATTTATTTGGTTGCAAAGATTATCTATAAAAATAGCCTAAGCACTCGGGACATCTCTTAATTTGTCTGTATCTTACTTTTTTTTTTACTTTTTCTTTTTGCTTGCAGTGGGTTAGCAGCCAGACATCTTCATCAAGATGGGGGACATGTTCCGCAGTGAGGAAATGGCACTGTGCCAAATGTTCATACAACCGGAGGCTGCCTACACTTCTGTCTCGGAATTGGGCGAGACTGGTTGTGTGCAGTTTCGTGATGTAAGTACTGATTTTTGGACGCATACGCTTTTTGTTGCGTCATAATTATGTACATATAACTAATGTGCCGCCTTCTCTTTGTCTTGCCAATCTAAAATGTTGGGTTTTTCCTATATTTTTCTACACAAAACTTGCAATCAAGAATATGCGTTTGGATTGATGGTTACATACTTGTATGCATACATACATACATACATACATACATATGTATATATTTTCACTCATCTGTTTTAAATATTTACATAGAATCGAATCTACATACAATACATGCCTACGCACATATTTAAGACATTCTCTAGAGTGATACATATTTCGAATTTCTTTACAGCTGAACAGCAATGTCAATGCATTCCAGCGCAAATTCGTTACCGAGGTGCGCCGTTGCGATGAGCTCGAACGCAAAATACGTTACATTGAGGCTGAAATCAAGAAGGATGGCATTGTGTTGCAAGACATTCTTGACGACATTCCACGCGCCCCCAATCCACGCGAGATCATCGATCTAGAAGCTCATTTGGAGAAAACCGAAAATGAAATCCTCGAGTTGGCCCAAAATGAGGTTAATCTCAAGTCGAACTACTTGGAATTGACCGAATTGCGTAAGGTGCTCGAGAATACGCAAGGTTTCTTTTCCGATCAGGAGGTGCTCAACTTGGACTCAAGCAATCGCGGTCCGAATGCCGTTGAGGAAGTCGCCCCACAAAATCGTGGCCGCTTGGGTTTCGTTGCGGGCGTGATCAATCGCGAGCGTGTATTTGCGTTCGAGCGCATGCTTTGGCGTATTTCACGTGGCAACGTTTTCCTAAAACGTTCCGATTTGGATGACCCACTCAACGATCCCGCAACTGGCCATCCAATCTATAAGACCGTTTTTGTTGCCTTCTTCCAAGGTGAGCAGCTCAAGAATCGCATTAAGAAGGTGTGTACTGGCTTCCATGCGTCCATGTATCCATGCCCCAGTTCGCATACCGAGCGCGAAGAGATGGTCAAGGGTGTGCGTACACGTTTGGAAGATCTGAAGCTGGTCCTCAGCCAGACCGAAGACCATCGTAGTCGTGTGTTGGCCACCGTATCAAAGAACTTGCCATCTTGGTCGATTATGGTAAAGAAGATGAAGGCTATCTACCACACGCTAAACTTGTTCAACATGGATGTCACGAAGAAGTGTCTGATCGGCGAGTGCTGGGTGCCAACCAAGGATTTGCCCGTTGTGCAGAAAGCCTTGTCGGATGGCTCAGCTGCCGTGGGCAGTACTATACCGTCGTTCTTGAATGTGATTGACACCAACGAACAGCCACCAACATTCAATCGTACAAATAAATTCACACGCGGTTTCCAGACCTTGATTGATGCTTATGGTGTGGCCTCCTACCGGGAGGCTAACCCGGCTTTGTATACATGCATCACTTTCCCATTTTTATTCGCTGTGATGTTCGGCGATTTGGGTCATGGCGTGATTTTGACATTATTCGGCGGCTGGATGGTGTTGTACGAGAAGGGCTTACAAAGGAAGAAGGGAGGCGAAATCTGGAACATTTTCTTTGGCGGACGTTACATAATACTTTTAATGGGCCTGTTCTCTTGCTACACCGGCTTCATCTACAATGATATTTTCTCAAAATCGATGAACATCTTCGGATCTACATGGAAAGTGCGATACAATACATCAACCGTACTTGAAAACCCATCATTGCATTTGTCACCAAACTACAGCACCTATGGGGTTTATCCTGTGGGCTTAGATCCAATTTGGCAGTTAGCCGGTAACAAGATCATTTTCTTAAACACCTACAAAATGAAACTATCCATCATTGTGGGAGTGTCGCACATGATTTTTGGTGTCTGCATGTCCGTGGTGAACTTTGTACACTTCAAACGTTATGCCAGTATAGTCTTGGAATTCCTGCCCCAAATTCTCTTTCTGCTCCTGCTCTTCGGATACATGGTATTCATGATGTTCTTCAAATGGATAAAATACAACCCGAAGACCTCCATCCAAGCGGATACGCCTGGCTGTGCCCCATCCGTGTTGATTATGTTCATCAATATGATGTTGTTCAAGAATACGCCCGCACCAGAAGGCTGCAATGAGTTCATGTTCTCCGCCCAGCCGACCGTTCAGCAGTTGTTCGTCTATATCGGTTTACTCTGTATACCCTGGATGTTGTTCGGCAAGCCGCTGTTCATTAAATTCACACGCAAAAATAAAGTGCACGTAAGTGAATCTCTTGTAAAAATTTTCCAACACACCGAAGTATGTTTATTTTTTATTGACATGAGATTTGCTACACTTTTATAGGTCAAACACAATGGCGATTTAACCGGCAATATCGAACTTGCCGAGGGCGAAACCCCAATACCAACAAGCCTCGATGACGCCAATCCCAGTGGCGGTGAACACGAGGAAGAACCGATGAGTGAAATCTACATTCACCAGGCCATTCATACCATTGAATATGTGCTCAGTACCATTTCACATACGGCCTCGTATTTGCGCTTGTGGGCTTTGTCGTTGGCTCATGCACGTAAGTATCTGCACCGACGCGCCGGTTATTTGAATCACTGTGACCAGATTCGAGCTTCACATCAAAGTTTCCAAATTCTTGAAAAGCGGTTGCGGCTAATCGTAACGATTCGTACGATTTGCAAAATTCTTTACGAAAATACATGAATTGAAACAATCTAAACACAAAAAAATCGTATGGACATTAGATTGGCACAAAAATATTTTTCCAAGTTAGGGTTGGGGGCACCTTCCAACATTTTTCATCTTGTCGAAAGAGGTGCTGCCATCAAAGTTTACGTTTCTAAGTATAAATATAGAGGATGCTCATTAAATGTTTATATGTATTTTACTCTGGAAGTGTATTGTCCATATATTAACCAAACATCTGCATAAGTATCTAACTTAAGACCATTTCAAATTTAAATTAGCAGAAAAATTATTACCAACTTCCGTTGTAATGGCAACACTAGCTTTTTATAAAAATCATCAATATTTTTGTCAGTCCCAAAGGGATTCAAGGACCCTGCATTGGTTTCAGTATAAAATTTTAAGTTTGTATAGATATTACAAATAACAAAAGGAAAAATGATTCCCCCCATTCAAAATTTGGACCACTTTAATGTACATACATATATGCGTACAGACCTAGGAATCAACATATTGGTATCATTTGAGCCTTAGCTGTGGTCGACAGAAGATCCTTTGTTTAGTTCTTAGCATTTACAGTAAAAGTAATGGAGTCTTGCAGGCAGATCATTTCATTTGCTTTCTTAAGTTTAGTGTCAAATATTCGCATATATCGCATTTCGCAATGAACCTTCAAGGGATTATTTTTTAAATGTTAGAAAATCTGCATGGGTTTATTAAAACTTCTAAGCATTTGCAGCTTGAGTACGAAAAAAAACGCTAGATCCAGCTGCAGGAATAATAGTCTGGCCACACTTATTTGAATGATCTCAAACTACATATACATATATGTACATACATGTATGTATGTATGTTTGCATGTAAATACACATAATAAATGGTTTACTCTACTACTATTTTGCAGAACTGTCCGAGGTCTTGTGGAACATGGTGTTATCAATGGGCCTGAAGAGCTCAAGCTATACTGGTGCCATCGCCTTGTATTTCATCTTTGGCGCCTGGTGTTTGTTCACCCTGGCCATCTTGGTCATGATGGAAGGTCTTTCGGCTTTCTTGCACACACTGCGTTTGCATTGGTGAGTGAAAAAAAACGTGGCAAATGCAGTTCTAATGCAAAACTAATCCATATATGTATTTTCTTTGCTTTTACAGGGTGGAATTCATGAGCAAATTCTACGAAGGCTTGGGCTATGCCTTCCAACCGTTCAGTTTCAAAGCAATATTAGACGGCGAAGAGGAAGAATAAACGAAAGACGTCCTCCTCCGAAATTCCTACATATGTACTCGCTTATTTAATGCGATATCAGTATTGTGGTACTCTTCCCACTTTCACTTTAAAGTGCCTTACATTTAGTTTTGTGTCTTTTGGTTTCATGTCCGTCCGTGTTATGTTTATATCAGAACTTATCTAATTGATTTTTTGTTTAAATGTGTATCATTGATGCATCATAAATTGCTTGCATTTTCTTAAAAATCATAAAATAAAAAAACGTTTGTTAGTGTTGCGCGTTAATTTTGCGAATTACTAAATCGAAATGCAAATAATTTATGTTGTAGACATGTACCTAAGTTCGATATTATTGTTTAATAAAGTTTTTAGAAGAGATTAAAGCAAGAAAACTGCTAATAGTGTTTTTCTACTTCACTATAATAAGGATTATAACTCACCAGGAATGCCCGAAGATCGCACATTTTATTCCCATTTCCAGTACACATAGTAATTAAGGAAGAATACAATAATAAATGGTTTTTATTTTGGTGCTACCGCATACGGTTCACTACTGAAACTGAAAATAATCACCTCTACGAGTATTCTTCGACCAAACTTGTGTGTGAAGTGAAGGAGATCGTATGTATGTATCAATCCATCAATCAGTGCAGTCAATACTATCACTGACCACTTTTTGATAAGTAAATATACATATATAAAATAGTAAATTAGTAAATAGTGCAGTGGTTCTCAAATTGTGGTACGCGATGCCTGCATAAAGGTGTTCTTACACGATATGTATTTGCATCTGTCAAATTCAGTCTTTATTTAACTATTTCTTTGAAAACGAAATAAACTAAACTATACATGTGTATGTATGTGCATCTGCTTTGTACAGAAACTAATCTAATTTACCTTTACACCATATGTTGGCATTTCCATATGTAAAAAATGGCATGTACACATGCAAATACTTATTGTGTATGAACAGCTTAAGTGTACCGCGGTGAAGTGAGGTTGATTTCAAAGTATTACAGTTTTAAAATTCATTTTGAAACAAAAAAAACATAGTTTAAACGCTCGAGCTAGCTGGTTTATACCAAGATAACCAGCTCAAATTTCAGCCATCTGTTAAATATTTATAAACAAGGTTTACGTGATCTAAATTTAACTGGCACTGAAAAACTAGCCCTTGGCTTTTAGCCGAGAAAATATCTGAAGAATTTGGTGTGCAGGGTGGAAATAGTAATCAAACTTGAATGTGATGAGAAGTTTCTGCAGATCTTGTTACATACTAGAATATAACCTAATGTTATCCTTTCGCCTACCAGACTATGCAAACGTTTGCATTTAAGGAGGCAGTAAGGTACATTAAAGAGACAATACCAGCGCGAACGCAGGTGAATATGTTTTCGTATAGCCGAGCGGCTATTTCGGCACTCCCTTCTACCTCTATAAGATCTCAACTAAGGGATGACTGTAGGAGAGAGATAGCCTATATTTTTGTTCAATATGAAATTACCCTAATATGGGTTCCGAGACATGGGGAAATTCACGGCAACGAGGTAATGGACAAACTAACAAGGTGCAGCTCCGCACTGAATGTGTGCCACGTGGTGGACATGGGGGTTTCGCTAAGGCCAAGCGGGGATGGAACCGTATAGGATAACCCGACAGTTCTTGTGTCTTACGACCCACTTAAAACCAAAACTCTCTTAGGAATGAGCAAAGAAGATACCTACAAACATACATAGGGCATTGACCCTTGTATTGCCCTTCAGCAGGTTCTATCGTAGTTGCGAAGACCCTGGCTTAAAAGAGCAAGTCGTCCCCCTCAATTACGGTTTCAGTGCCACCACACGTTGAATATTTACTTGACATTCAAGACAATTTTCATTCTTTGAAGGATTGTGACGAAATTCGCATATGATTACATGACCACGGGGAATATTTATATACGATTTCGCCAGGATTTATTTTATAATTGATACAGATTGTAAGACTTTCAGAATTGGGAACATCTTGGGGCTGTCAGAAGTGTTTCAGTAAGAATTTTTCTTAAAAAAACTCGATCAATGTAGTTTTCTCGATTACCTTTTCTAAGGCCACTTTTTGCGATGTATCTTCTCGTGGTGAATCGTGTGCTGAAATGTGCATTATTTTGAGTGGCCAGATAACTGTCTTGTCCATTTAGGTATGATATAAATTTGTCTAATATTTTTTTTTTTGTGAAATAGCTGTCAGCGGTTCCATTTGTTCATAGAAGGTATGCGAGAAGAAAAGTTTGAGCATCGGTGCCTTAAAGTGTAAGATATATGTATGTATGTACATTAGGGTGGTCCAAAAATGCATGTACAAAAGTAAATTCGGAGTTTTTATGTTCTCACCTCCTAAGATAGTTCTATATCGAAAAAAGTATAACCTTATTTTTTTATTTTGAAATCAAAAAGAAAAAGCATTCCATTTTTTCCATGTATTTTGTACGGGGAAAAAACAACTTTTTTTGGAAATCGTATGGAATTCTTGAAACTCAATATTTTTCGATCGGCATACTCTGTTTCTCTTCAACCGATTCCCAATAATAAAACCCAATTTTTTTAACAATTTTTTCTTAGTAACTATATTTTTTAGGACCGCCAAAACCCCTAGAAAATGCGAGAAAATGCAATGGTGGGGGGGGAGGGGGTTAGTAAAAAATCTTCATTCTTAAAAAATGGTTAAATAAATAATTGGGTATTGTTATTGGAAGTCTCCTGAAGAGAACCAAAGTTCCGATCGAAAAATATTGATTTTCAAGAATTCCATACCATTTCCACGAAAAGTAGTTTTTTCCCATACAAAATACTTGGAAAAGTTGGAGCGGTTTGAGCGACCTCTAAATATTTTTTGATTTCAAAATAAAAAAATAGGGATATACTTTTTTCGATAAAGAACAAACCGAGGGGTGAGAGCAGTAAAATGTCGACTTTACTTATTTTGAACCAGCCTAATGTCTATACATATCTACATACAGGTGGATGTAACTCAGTGTGGAATTATGACGTCGCACAGTGGTCCGAGTGGCAGAAAGTCGTAATTTCGAAATGTGTGGAAATAGCCAACTCAGTGGTTGTCTCAATTCTAAGCATGACAAAGGAAGCCGGTGGTGGGTTATTTATACGAAAATACTTTGTATAACGGTTGCCTCCATGTCGTCAATCTTCCATAGAGAGAACGCTTCACACTGGCAGATCCCTATAAAAATCGTAGGTAAAGGTAGTAAACGTATCTCGATTTTGTAAAAATTTGTTATTTGAACCACTTTGGCTAAGGAAAGTAACAGTATGAAATCTGGTAAAAACTAGCTAAGTGCAACGCCTACTACACAAGGGGGCGGATGTGGTAAACGTTATCTAATTCCGATGAAATTCGGTTTGTAACTTGGACTAAGCTATGGTGGAAATCGGTCAACTGCAACACCCACCAGCTATCCGAATTTTGCATTCTAATGTGGCAAGGACCCAGCAAAATAGCAAACATTTGATGCAAGATCTATTTTTGCATAAAAATCCCGAAATATAAAAAAATGTGAGGATTGACGTCCAACCATGCCCTCCCTCCCCCACACTACTCGGCGGGATTGGGAAATACTATCCGTTTTTATTAAAATGGATTTGTACCTTACAAACCGAATTTCTCCGAATGGGCGTGGCTGGTCGCCAATTCACACAATTTGGTATATATCTCGGGGTTTTATGCAAAAATATATCTTGCACTAAATTTTAAATTTTTGGAGGATCATTCTTACCACATTAGCATCCAGAATTCCGATGGCTGCTGGGCGTGCCAGTTGACCGATTTTCACCATCATTCCGATACATATATGTCTCCGAAGGTTAATCAAAGTTAAAAATCTAATTTCATTTGAAATTGGATAAAATTTACTATATCCGCCCCCTGGTGTAGTGGACGTGACAGTCCGCCAAATTCAACAATTTTTTTATTTATTGATTCCTCGACAAAAGCAGGTTACAATTTTCAGCGAATTCGGAGCACATTTGCTACTTTTTGCCACATTTTATATGGATCCCTTCCTCTGTGCGTCGTACGAAATCGAGCATTGGTCATTTTATCTCTAATAGTTTACCAATCATAATTGCTTTTTAATACCAATGGCGCCTTAGCAGCGGTACAAGTACATACATACATACGTACTTGTTTAGTGAGCCAGCTCTGGTCTTCTCACAAGTGCAGGTCCAATGTGTCGACTTCCTCGTTTCTTCGGTTTGCATGATTGATTGGTTGGAAAAGGTTGCCTTAATTGGAATTTAAGATTCGAAATTAAGTCCAGAATATGAATTCAGTGTCTTTTAGCCGCTCTAGTGAGGTGTACGTTGCAGATCTAAATTAAAAATTTGCTTTCGAGGTGAATTGATTGAATTTGATTTGAGTAAGTTCTTTTTGATGAATTACGAATTTAATAAAGCCTTGTGAGATGTGTACTTTAATTAAAATTTTTGCACAAGTTAATTTAGATTGTTCATAAAATAACTGCGTTTACTTACACTAATTAGCAAAAGCAATTTTAAAAAACTTCTAAATGTTTTAATGTTTTTTTTTTTTTTATTGGGTGCAGAATGCGTATAACCATTGAATTACTGATATGATAGGATAGTTATTTTAAAATTTGTGGCATTTTTAATACCTTTATAAGAGGTGAACATGCCTCACCAAGTACACTTTAAAAAGTCTCTATTTCTGTACATAATCCATTTTCACCATTAGTATTGCTTGTGCAATAATTATACGTGATCGCTGCAAAAAGTGTACGAATAATTTAAACAAAATCTGAAATGCAACAGACATGATGATCAGGACCGCAAAGTTGTAAGCTTTTGCTTGGAATTGCTTGTTCAGGGTTTCCAAGCTTAATTTTAACGATCGCTTATTTTGCTTATTTCAATGTATATAGCTAAGTACGAGCCATTTAAGAAAACGGTCAAGAAATAAATTGCTATTATTTCGTGTGTGCGAATAGTAGTGTTAAAGGAGTTTTGACATCTGATATTTTCAAGCCTGCTATCTCACTTTTCCCTCCGTTCCTTCCGAAATAATGGAAATTTCTGTTGAAAACAAGGCTGCCTTGTACTCTTCACAAACAAACAATAGCAAGCCATAAGGAGAAGAAAATTTGGATTAATAAATTTTTAATGGGTGGTTTTCCATATTCGTGAAACTAAAGAAATGTCTACAAATAATAACATAAAAACAGATTTGGTTTTTATTAACCTGTAATTCAATTGCATTTCTGCTTAAATTTAAAATCAATGGTTTGTCTCGAAGGGAGGGCATTGGTGTTATTGAAGATATTGGAAATGGTGTATCTCAAATGGAGAACAACGGTACTAAAAAAAACAAGTGAGAAAGTCTAAGTTCGGGCGGAGCC